TAGTAGTAGTAGTAGTAGTAGTACAGTAGTAGTCGTAGTAGTAGTAGTAGTAGTAGTAGTAGTAGTAGTCGTAGTAGTAGTAGTAGTAGTAATAATAATAGTAGTAGTAGCAGCAGCAGCAGCAGCAGGGCAGCATAGCAAAGCAAGAACATCCAGCGGATGCCGTTTCGGATTCCGTTAGATTTTGTGACTTTCCTGTTGGCAGAGTCCTTCGTTGTCTCAGGACTTCTTCACAGAGCACTGTGCCAGGCAAGGAAGCGTTCCAAGTTGCTCAACAGCTTATCAGACAATGCTTGCATCATGAGTCTTATACATAGTTGCCATAAAGGACAGCAGCATGCGACGCGATGTACCGTGATGCTTTGTTGCAAGTAGATAAAACGTAGCGTATGCGGATGTAGCAGGAGATGTCATGTATCCATGCCTGCGTCCACGCCTTTTAGAGCGGTTCCCTTTGTGGTCTTGCCACTCTTGCATGTGGCTTTCAGTGGCGTCCTTGTTGCATCATCGATAATGGCCATCTCGGGCTCTCATGTTACTTCGTTTGTTTATGCATCTTGGGTTCGACTCTCCGCGATTGCTGTTGCAGCCTCAAGCGTAGAGGCGCTTTCCCGCGGCTACCAAGGGCCGCGGACGGTCCGAGGAATGCAGTGCTGCTGATCTCTGAAGAGATTTCAGCTGGAGCCATGCAGGTCTGCCAATCTGTGGCGCTCCTGGTTGTGCTAGCGCTTAGGTGCAGCTAAGCCGCAGATGGGCTCGCGACATGCGTTTCAAAAGTGTTTCCGGCAGCTTGATAGCTTCGATCGGTGTTCAGTTCGCTGGCAGGGCCTTGACCCTGAAACCTCAGCCCGCAGCAAGGTGATGCAGGGCTTGTGGTGTCTTCAACGGGTTGCGACCCCGCCTGCGGCGCCCATGGCGCATGCAGGTCCACAGTGGGTTCGGGCATGTCCCGGCTTTTGTTTCGCTACCTTGTTATGGTCACCTTGCTTTCTTATTGTGGAGAAGCTACCACGCCCCTGTGAGTTCAACAGATTCTAGAGTAAGGGTTTACAATAAGCATAAGTAGGTTCCCTATTTTTCAGGGTAGGAAGCCCCTGAAACCCGAAGATCCATACCTTCGGGTCTTCGAGGGCCAAGACACACTTTGAGGATCACAACGGGACTCTACAGAAAATTCGTGTGCGTAGTTTCTTTCAGAAATGCATCTGTTTGTCTAGAAGAAGTAAATGTGGTCCAATGTGGTTTTAACGACAAGCTGGCCGCGAGAGTCCTGAACCTGACGATGCCTGCGCCTTGCGTCATGCATTCATATGTAATTCTCTATTATATAATTGCTGTACACATCCATTTGCCTGGAGATTCGCGGGCGGTGCAGGAGCGGAATTTGCGAATGTGAAGCTGGCTGGGCCGGCAAAGGATGCAGCCTCTTCTTGGCTGACGAAGGTGCAGAGCACTCCCCGCATCAGGTCACACCGTTCCGCAATATTTCAGGGTTTTTTGTTGGCATGATTTTCAATCTAGCGAGAAGTTGGTTTGGTGGCGTTATTGGGGTGGTTGATGCCACCAGCCCAAGACTTTCATATTACCAACGGCCTCGCGAGCTTGACGTTGACCCGCGGAGAATGCACTTAACAAGAAAGCCAAGCGCTTGATATAGGGGCTTAATAATTACCTATACTCGTACCATTTAATTCGGGGAGTCCTTATTATAATTATAAGACCCTAATTTAAGTATTACCGTAAGGCCCCTACATTGAACTTGCCAGGCTGAATCCTGCCCTCCTGGAGCCAGCATTGCTCCCGACAGCCTTAACTCAAAACCCGGCGTGCCCAACCCTTCCTGAACCCTCTCTCTTCACAAACGAAGTCTTGCATCCCCAGGACAGTGGAACGTTGATGGCACAATAAATACAGGAGCATGTCAAAACTGTACGGAGACGGGGAGCCCAGGCGAGAGTCGTCTTGGAGCATGCAGTGCTTGCACTGATCGAGCAGGCCGCAAACGCAAGCGTGCCCAGAGGCGGCCTGGGGGGCATCGTAGTTCTGCCGCGCTCTATGAGTCATAAGTACAATAGCGGAGGAGAAGCCAGGAACCAAGGTGACAGAACAGTCTGAGAAAAGAGAATGAGGAGAGACACAAGAACATCGCAGAATCTTGACAGTGAAAGAACGACTTCGTTCAAATCATGATGCCTCACAGGCCCTGCCAAGGCTTGAGATTGAAAGACTCTTCAGGCACTGATGGAGAGACAGAAGAGACAGACGCAAACCCCCCGTATCGTCCCACATAACTGTGACTGCACCATGATATCCCGAACCCTTATCAAGCTTTGGTCAGCCCCTGTAGTGGGACCAGAGCCTGAAGCCGTCAGTGGTATCTTCGTTCAGGCGCAGCAAGCCAAGAAATCCACGCTCCCACAGCACCTCGCAGGAAGTAGAGGGTGTGGAGTTTGTCATTTCGTTCTTGGCTTTGGAATCGAGGGTGTAGGGGGTAGAGTTTCGGATGTTAAGGTGTGGTCAGTGGTCGGTGAGTGGTTCAATTGAAACGAGGTGCCAGGTTTGCAGGTAAAGTTTAGGTTAAAATGTCTCAACGTAGCGCTTCCAACAGGCTTGAAGACATGGCAATGATGATGACTATGATGATGACTATGATGATGACTATGATGATGACTATGATGATGACTATGATGATGACGATGATGATGACTATGATGATGACTATGAGGATGACGATGATGATGATGATGATGATGATGACTATGAAGATGATGATAATGATGATGATGATGATGTTAGTAATAATGATGAGGTTCTAATAATACTTATAATCTTATTGGTAGTACCTATAAAAATTTTTATAAGCAGGTAATAGTAAAGGTGATAGTAATGCATCTCTGCCCCCCGCCAGATGCCGGGGATCGCTGCTTACCCAAAACCCGTAAACCCGAGACCTTAAACCCGCAAGCAGGGTGTGGGGATGGTCTGGCCTGCAGCCCTCGGTTTAGGCTCTATCTACCGGGTATTCCGACTGTGGCAGGGAGGAATAGGGCCAACAGAAGCAGCCCGAAGGTTGCGAAAGAGACCTCCACCCCCGCACCGGCGGAGTCTGCCGGAGTGGCTGGGCTCCGATTTCCGAGTTTGGGCCTGGGGGGCCCAAGTATTTCAATGAGATTGGTCGGAAGATGTAGGAGAAAGCGGGTCTGAGTAGAATATCTACACCCTTTTATGTTTAAAGCCTGCTTTAAAGATGTAGGCACCTCGGGGTCATGTCGATGTTGTGTGGGGGTAGGGGTTTTGGATTCGATTTGAGTTTCAGGCGAGTCAGTAAACATCAGGGTTTTTGGCATCTTCCTTATCGGGGCCCATTAATATTCCACAAATATGTAATCCGTTTGTCTTAGTTGTAGGTGCTTGCATGGCCTCAGGATTCTAGTAAAGGCCCCGACTCGAGACCATGTGTGTGTGTGAGACTATTATAGGTCTTAAGAACTCAATTATAAAATTAGGAACCCTGTCCCTGCACATACTCACTCTCTCTCTCTCTCTTTTTTACCATAACTTATCCCGAAACCATGTTAAAACAACAACAACAAACCACAGCTTATTCCAGAACCCTATTCACATAACAATATACCACAACTTACCCCAAAACGGGCGCAGCTCTTTAGAAGGATCCAAAAGCTAGGATATTGGGATCTGCCATCTTCCGGCTTATTCGGAGTTTGTTTGTTTTAGCTGCGGTGGGATCTTGTGAAGTTGATTCCTTCACCATGCCTGTGCTATCATACTAGGCCTTCGTTTCGCCCAGAGAGTGTTCGAGCTCCTGAAAATGATGTAGTTTGTGTTCTTTCGTCGTTTATTGGGTTCTCTGCAGCTTTGTCGCAGCCAAGCACAAGCTTGCCACCGTATCTCTGTCAAGGAAGACGCATCCACCCACACTTGTCCCAGAAATGCTGATGGTCCGGGATTCAATTTGTCTTGGTGACCCTCACAGCCTTCCAAACCCAGGCCACTGCCAGCGGAGCTATTCGTGTTGCTCGCGAGGCTGTCGCTTCGTAAGCAGCAACAAGTGTTGAGACTATGACAGTGACGATCACGATGAAAATGGTCATGGTGGTGCTGACACCAAGAATATCTGTGACAAAGAGTTTGATGATAACAAATGTGGTTGAAATCATACTGATCCTGCTCATGGCCAGGAGGGTGTCAACTAAACAAGGACCTTCGTGACGATTACGATGATGCCGATTGTGTTGAAGCTGATGGCAATGATATTGATGGCTATGTTGCTTCTGATTACGCCGAGGTTTAATGGGGTTGTGATTGTGTTTATGATGTGGATAATGATTGTACAAATGTGTTCTTGATGTGGCCAGTGGCCTTGATGAGGAAGAGGTCTGTCGACAAGGACGAGGACACCGACTAAAAACTAGGAAGAAGACAAGACCAGGACCGGGCCACGGCTGACGTCCAAAAAGAAAATGTACGACGACGAGGAGGACCATGATAATGTAGATGACGGCAACGGCAACGGCATGTGACAGCGATCATGGTGACGATGTTGTTGATGGTAACGGTGATGTCAAAGCGACAGTGGCGTCGACGATGGGGGTGAGGAGGACTTGGGTGATGATGGTCACGGCGACAAGATGTGATGACAGTTGCCGCTGCTAGTTACTAGCTGCTTTCATGTTTGCTCAACGCAGGTTGGACGATGGGAGCATCTTGTGTTGTAGGCGAAGACTTGCAAGACTCCTTGTGGGGCTGCTTGTGGGAATGTAAACATCAGTCTATGAGGGTACAGCCACATGAGGGCATAATCCCCTATTCAAGCAACTCTAGTCGCATCACTGGCAACAATGCTAAACAGCCAGCATCAGATACAGAATCTTCTCTAACAATGCATTTACCAGTCATGGTGCAAGCAACAGTAACAGGACTAGGCACAGTATTTCATGACCTGATTCTACCAGGATCCTTAAACCCTAACCAGCCCTAAACCCCAAGACCTGTGAGGGTTCTGCGCAGGCTGTCCTCGCCGTCAGCCGCACAGCCGCAGAGCTGCTCCCGACCTCCAACCTGAGAGGTCTGCTTCAGGGCCTAGTACCTGATTATTGGGTCCTTAGGACCCTTGGGGTAGGATCTATAGGGTTCCATATAATGGCTCCTTTAAAAGGATCTTCCGGGTTTGTTCTGAACCAGAAAGCCGCACGAACATGAACTTATGGTCTTGCTCTCTTGAGCAGGTCTAACTTTGGAAGTCATGCTTAGCTCATCGAGCCCACTTAGGCAGGGCAAACAGCACTTGCAAAACTACTCTAAACCCCTAAACCCCTAAACCCCTAGACAACACCTAAACCCTAAACCGGAGCAACGAGAGAGCAGCGGAGACCCTCCGCCCCACAGGGGCCGACGCATCTGCATCGCTGCTGCAGAAGCCTGCGCTTACCCACGTGGCCACGAAGTGCGAAGCAAACTGCAGCGCCTGGGTAAGTTTTCATACATGTGGAGCTGTAGGGCTGTAGGGTTCAAGAGATTTCGACCGAGCCACTGGACCTAGTTTCTTGTGCACTCAAGCGGCCCAGAAACCTAAACCCGAACCCAGCACCCTGGTAAGCTGAGTGTCGAGCCTGGATCGTTTTGCCTTAGGGTACGAGGTTTCGACTTTTAGAGGAATCCTCTGGGTTTTCGTAGAGGGAAGTTTGGGCGGTTCTAGGTGGGGTCTTATCGCATGAGTTCTGTCTCGAATTAGCTGGTTCGAACGATGTATGCGTACTTTGCGAATGACCATCACACACTTTACAAGGTTCAGACGTGAACAGGTTTCAGGCAGTTCATGTTCCTGTTTGTAAACTTCTGCCATGAATATTGCTATCCGACCCGAAAACCTTAAAAGCTCCGATTTCCCTTCGGTGAGGCATCGTAGTTGCTTCAGACGCCCGGGAGGCTTTTTCTTAAGGAGCTGGTCCCCTGCAAGCAGACTGGTGTCCCGATGCCTTCTGCCAAAGACAGGGGAGGACACTTTTCACTTGCTGCCGAGGTGGTCATGGGACCTGCGAGGAATCCGGGCGCTGCGCCTGCAAGCCCGGATGGATAGGCTGGGGCGTAAGAAACGGAGCCGGTGGAAGCTTGGAGATCAGTATGAAGTGCAGTCGATGAGTGCGTTTCTTTCGCACCCTTGTACCTTCTTAGTCTTAGTCGGCACGAGGCACTAGGTGTCATTGTGACGCTGCTGTGCAAGGACCACCTGGTAGACTTCAATATTTGGGGCAACGGGTGAGGGATTTGGCGTGGTACTGCCTGCTGGAAGATAGTGTTCCGGTGTTCATTGGGGGTTTTCAGGCTGTAGAGATTGCGCTTGTCACCACACGGAGCTGAATTAGGCAGGAGAGGCAGTTGGGCTGATCTTGTCACCTGCGTGTCAATTCATCGTGGACGGAAGAGATTCTTCGAAGCTCCAGTCACCAAGCAGGCAGCTTCTGCGACATGCCTCTCTGCCCCAGCAACTGCAACAAGCGTGACTTGGCTAAGGGGCTTTAAGGCTTCAGTCACGAATCCTAAATCTTCATTCGGGAGGGAGGGCGTCGATGGAAGATGCTCCATTCTGGGCATAGCAGAAATTTCTGCTTCGTCTGGCCATTTAGCACTCTTTGCTGTGGGGTGAGGACTGGGAAGGTTCCAGGCTTCATATTCTGCCTTGAGCTCCAGCAGCTTTGGGCCGCTTAGCCGAAACCCGTAAAAGCTTAGGGTTTAGGGTTTAGGGTTTAGGGTTTACCCTAAACCCTAAACCCTAAACCCTAAACCCAATCCCATGCGCAGGTGGGATGTGCCTCCATGGCAAATGCTTGTGCGAACCTGGTTGGCATGGCAAGGCATGCCACATCCAGCGCTACCTGTCTGCTCTCTTGGGTTTGAGCTCTTTTGAACATTGTTTAGGCTTAGGGCCCTTAGGGCCTAAGGGTTTAGGGGTTTAGGGAGAGTCTCTGAGAGAAGACTTGGGAGACTGAGGGCGGGAGCCATGCTTGGCCATCTGGCCAGGCGGACGGTAACCTCACAGAAGTGCAATAGGACTTTGGGTTACATCAAGTTTGCTATATACTGCTGAATCGAAAGCAACTTACCGGACGATATTTCGATGAACAAGATCCAAGTAGGATCTTTGCATACCTTGAACTGGTTGAACTTCCCACTTCTGAAGGAGTAGCCTACACCCTAAACCCTGTAGCATTCCCACTTCTTCATGAAGTCCCGCTGAAGACCCAGGCTCATGCCAGTTTCAGAACCCCGGGCCGGGCTGTTACAGGGCTTCAGTGTTTCAGGGCTTGGGCTTTATGAGCTATACGGGTTTAGGGTTTGGGGTTTGGGGTTTTCAGTGTTCAGGGGTCTAGGGTCTAGGGTTCAGGGTTCTGGACTTTTTAACTAAGCACGCGACTCCCGCAACCCAAGCTTGCACAGCCCTACTGCAGACGAATCGATTCGGCAAGCTGGTTTCGGGAGGCTAAGCTTCCTGTCCTCTTCCTTCAATAGAGGTTGGTACTGCCTTTGGAGTCTGGGTGCACTGTGGGCCCTAGAACCCGGAGGTTCCAATCATGGGGTGAACCGAGATGTCCAACAAACTCCCATGGCATTGCACAACAAAGCCCTGCAAAGGCCTTTCAAGCAGATTTTTGCAACGCACCGCAAACGCACGAACATGCACATTTGTAAGCATGGGTTCTCATTAGGGGTGTTTGCAATGAGTATCCCAGTAATTTAGGGTCCCTATCAAGGTTGCCGAGTCGTCTCAAACCTCTTTGTTTCCGCAGTTTGACACCGCCCCCGAAATCTGACACCCCGGCTACCGTCCTCGCTCGGAAGGTCTCGAAAGCGTCCCAAAGCTCAGCCTCAAAATCCGAATCCCTGTTGTTAACTGACCGTGTAGGGTATTGCTTGAATCCGAAACCATGCAATGCCCGAAAGCCTAGACTCGCAATTTAATTCTACACAGATGATTATGGTTATGGTTTGGATTGCTACTGCTGCTACTACGACGACGGCTACTTACCACCACTACTACGATGACTACGACTACTACGACGATGACAACAACAACTACTACCCCTGCTGCTGCTGCTACTACTACAACAACAACAACTACTACTACTACTACAACTACTACTCCTACTCCTACTACTACTACTACTACTAGTACTACTACTCCTGCTGCTGCTGCTGCTACTACTACTACTGCTACTACTTCTACTCCTACTCCTTCTCCTACTACTCCTACTCCTACTCCTACTCCTACTCCTACTCCTACTCCTACTCCTACTCCTACTCCTACTCCTACTAACTAGCTAACTAACTAACTAACTCACTCACTGGCTGACTGACTGACTGACTGACTGACTGACTGACTGACTGACTGACTCACTGACTAACTAACTAACTAACTAGCTAACTAACTAACTAACTAACTAACTAACTAACTAACTGACTAACTAACTAACTAACTAACTAACTAACTAACTAACTAACCTACTACTACTACTACTACTACTACTACTACTACTGCTACTACTACTACTACTACTACTACTACTACTTCTATTACTTCTACTACTACTACTACTATTACTACTACTACTACTACTACTACTACTAC